CGATCACATGATGCCTATAGTGTATAAATTTAGCTTACCTAACAGTAATGATATTGGAGGATGGATGAGGTTTTAAACCCATCAGTTCAAAGTAACGTTGCTGTAATGGTTTATTCTTAGAATCCAATACCCTAACACTGGCAGTGATGTCTTTGTTGATTTCAACCTGTCATGAGAAATATTATGTAAATTAGGTAATATTTGGGTAATTGTCCTTTATCAAACACTACCTGCAACAATGAAATTATAAAATGCCATAAAAAAAACTCACAATTTCACAATAGAGGACTGAGCGCAATTTTGAGATATCTCGCTTAATTACGACTGGAAGCTTGCAAAGGTGTACATCAATAATATTGTAAAGCATGCTCTTTGGCATAGTAGGTTAATCAGCATACGTACTGTACTCTTATCATGCATACTTTGTGACAGATACATGTGATACAGCTTACACTGGGAGTATTATATGCATACCTTGTCAACTACCCTGACTTCAATGAGATTTACTCCAGATATATAGACATGTGATACAGCATGTGTTGGTGAGTAAAGACACAAGTCATTCGCTGTGATCACCACTGATCCATCAAATTGTGGAGTCACCTGGAAAATTCAAATAATAAATACATTATCATGAGTATGCTGGGAAGAAAGAAAATAATTTGTCACAATTATGAGAAAATTAGAACTGACATAATCATAATACAGAAAAAGATCAAATGAAAACATGTGCAGACAATGAAGACACTTTCATACTTTAGGCCTTCAAATAAACTAATTTACATACAAGAACTATAATACTTAATTTAAAACAAAAAAAATATACATTATTTACTAAATACCAACCTGAATTTCTTTTTTTTTCTCCAGGTATTTGATTTGTGCAATATTCTGTTGACTTGATTCAATATAAAAATATCCAGATCCACCACTTACTATCAAGCTAACCTGTTAATAAAAGCACAATGTGTAATGGGTTTATTATTTAATAGAAACTAAGAAAGGCTACTCTGAAATTTCAATCAGCACGCAAACATAGCAAAACTATTGAAACCTTGCCAGCAAGTGAATAGTTGGTACATCTGGTTAAGTTGAGACCAAGAATTGAAATAGTGACATTTTATAACATAATTTTCATTTCTTATTACCAATGATCTAACTAAGGTATACATGGGAGGGGGGTGATTTTGTGATGTTCTGCTTCCATCGATTTTGTTGATTTCATTTTACTCCAGAATAGCTAAAATAATCATTAAGGTAATGTGAAATAGGAAATGGTTCACTATTACTAGAATATGTGATAGGAAGTTGTAAAACAGTAAACAGTCTGGCATTCTGATATGCACAGTGTTTTGATTTATATGTGTTATTATAGATACACTGTAGCCTCGTTACAACGAACTCGTTGGGGGACATACAATTAGTTTGTTATAGTGAAATGTTCACTATAATGAAGCACATAATACATTGGGTTTGTTGTGAGCGGGAGACATGCTATGTGTTCATTATATCAGGAAATTCATTATAATGGTGTGCATTATATTGAGGTTACAGTTTACCAATGAATATATTTTGTTAAGTATTTACTGGCATATTATTATTGTTTATGTCATATTGTTTTAATATATCAAATATATTCACAAGAAACTCATGGGCATCATTTTCCATAACAGGATTAAATAGTTCAGTACTTTCAATGTACTTCTGTAACCATGCTGCACTATTTAAAACTGTTGATACCCAAATACATGTGGATTATAAATGATTCTCGTTCACATGACAAACAATATGGTGTTTTATTTTTTCGCCATTGATGGGTTTTTGATTTGGTATGAATGTAGCTTGCAAATGCTAGTACTTGTATATAACATTTTGATAACATGTCCAAGGTTTTGTAACCCAGCACCAGGGAGTCCATTTATACAATCTAACCAATCAGTACTCACAATATTCTTTTGATACAGGTGAAACTGATTTAGTAATTGCATTACATTTAAAGATATTTCTATTTGATTTGTTAGTCTGTCAAGTTTGTGTATTACTTGGTCCATAAAATTATCAACTTTATGGGTAACAACATTCTACATGATTAGCTGACTGGGTAAATATTTCACTATTTCTTCAAGGTTTTTTTGTTTACTGTACTGTTGAGGCTGTGACTCGCAGGCTCTTATTTCAGCATGTATTTACGATTTTGTTCACGTTTTATTCTAAAACTCTTTTTCTTAAGTTTAGGCATTCTGAATAATTATTATATTGGAATGACACTTGTATAATTGTGCAAAGTTACATGTTACTTAATATTAGCAAATACTGCTTAATAAACAATAACAACTATGTACTATATATGCTAACTTATCATATATAACCCATTGTACAGTAGCAACTTTACAAAACTTATTGCACTTAGTTCATAACTCACTGAACAATGAGGACTAGTACCGAGTACAACTGCTTACAGTAGAATATCATCTTATAATGTTTAACAAACTAAGTAAACTAAAAGAATGTGTTTGTACTGACGACAGTACCAAGCTCACAGTAAAACTGACCAGGAGTTGTTGACCAGATCTAATTACCATACAATGACTCCTCACAAAGATCAAATGTTAATTAAAGTATAAATAGAAGGCATTTTCTTATAATGAACTCCAGATGGCCCTGATTATAATAAGATGGAAAAACATACTCAAGTCACACACAATGGAAATGAAATGACACACATAGCTGTACATAGTTGTACCACAAGATAGAGGGCACTGTAGTTGTACTACCCAATGCAGCTATTTGACAAGATTACTGCTCACAGTATAAATTGACAAACTTTCAACAGATCTAATTACCATACAGTGACTTCACACAAGGTCAAATATTAACTAGAGTAAAAACAGTCATTTTTCTATAATGAACTTAAGATGGCACTGGTTCCAATAAGATGAAATGTATACGTAATCACACAACAATGGAAAATTCCAAAGGATTTCAAAACAACTATTACACCATGGATTTTCTCGTTAAATCCTGATTTCAAAACATTAAAATTACTTCTCTTCAACTAAAAAAACTTTCACAACACAATTACGTTTTACTAAAAAAAAATATTACTCCATATCTCATCATATGC